ATACTCATCTCGCCCACAAGAACCACTCTCTTGGTTATTATCTCAATCTCAGTGGAATCAGGTATCGTACTTGTCAATGTGCACACCCCCTAATAAGGATTCCAAGCCCGGCGGGTAGTATCGAACCTAACAACTCGGGAATATCGACCAAGATACTTCATAAATCTCTGTCGGTCTTCTTTGACCGTTTCTTTCTTTTCTCAAACTTTCTTTCTTTCTCTTTTCTTCCGAAAAGACCAAGTCCTAATGGACATCTAAAATACTATTTTCTCGCAATAGATAACATATAGATATATCTCATGCAACTTCTTTCTCATGCAACTTCTTTCTCATGCAACAACTCTAACTTATGCAAGCTAATGCACATACTTCTCAACAACTTCTCTTTATCACATTTTGGAAATCAAATATAATGCAATCTTCTCAATGAAAAACAGATAATGACTTTCCAAAATAGATATAGGTTTTTGGAATAGATCTTAGGCTTTACTTAGAGCCAATAATGCACTTTAACTTGGAAATATGCTATCATGCTCATTTAATTTACTGTGAAATATGCTCAGATTCTCATTCATTGTGAAACTAGGAAAATGCACTGCTTAATACTAAAATCTCAACACTTAGCAAATCTTCTCAATAAATACTTAACAAGTATTAATCATGTTTCTCAACTCAAAACATACTCATATGCTAGCAACTTCATCCACTGTGAAACAGGGAATTATGCATTATTTGTGCCAAAACTCTCAAATGCTTAGTAAAACTTCTCAACAAATACTATCAAGTATTTAGTCATGCTTCTCAATCAAAAATCAATACTCAAAAGCTATAATCTCAATTGCTGATAAAGTTCACAGACAACAACGACAGGGTATTCAATTCCCATATTTCTAGCTATAACTCATGCTTTCTACCTCCAAATCAAACGAAACTAACTTATATTAGTGCGTCGTAATGAGACCAAGGGTCCGAGCCTCAAGGACCCACGAGTCCCGGTCCGAACGACACGTAGCTGAGCCACAGAGGGCCCGGCCAGAAACAACTTTGACCTGGCGGAGCTTGGTGATGGGGCTTGGGAAGCCCCGCCACTTGGCTCTGCCAAGTAACGGTGCAGGGCAACGGATCATGCCTAGATCCGTTTCCTTGGTCCGCTACTCTACGGACCTGGCCAACGGATCATGCCTAGATCCGTTGATTAGGTCCGTTGAGTCTTCTGGTGCACCAACTGTGTGCACCAGACTCTCTTCTTCACCTGTAGAATAAACCAGATGCAATCCAACACTTCCAAACTTCACTAAATCAATCATAGATCATCAACAACACACAAATAGATCAACAACAAACATTATCTAGCATTTCTAAGCATCTAAATCTCATTTCTAGCATTTAACAAAGTTAAAATCTAGTTTTGTAGTCTATGGTTTATACCTTAGCTTCTTATTCTTTTTGTGTGGATCCCTTCTTCTTCTCTGCTCAACTACTACCTCCTACACCACCTATTCTCCTCAACAAACAACACAAACAAAACTTAAGGATAGAAACCTCAGAGGTTAGAGGCAAAAGAGATGAAAACCTTAAGGAATAAGATGAAATGGATATATGAGAATGAAAGCTAGAAACCTTACTGTGATTTTCTTCTTCTGCCAACAGAGAGCTTAAGGAGTGGAGAGGCAAAGAAAGAGATCAGGAAACATCAATGGAATAGTGATGAATAAATAGGGTGCAAAACCCTAGGTTGAAACCCAATGATTGGTTGAGGGCAAAGGGGTAATTTGGCTTGTTTTTTAAAAAGATCAGACAAAGTTTGTAGAAAGTTCATGGTTCACCTTGTATCATGGACCAATGTCTAAAACGATTTTGGATAAATTGGGGTAAAAAATAGATTTTATAAAAATAGTTTCTAGTTAAAACACTTGGTTCTTCAGGTTTCATAGGTTCCTCTCAGGTTTCACTCAGATTGACTTTTAGGGTCAAAACTTGGTACATAATTGTACCCAAAACTTAGGATTTTCGAAATAGAATACCCTTGGTGTTGAATTTTTTTAAAATCTCGGTTAAAAATATTTAATTCAAACACCATTTTTGAAATAAAATTTTTGAAAGAGTGAAAATAGCTATTTTGGAATTTTATAAAATAGAATTTAGAAAAATTATTTTTGGGTTGTCACACTGCATAACCGCTGGTTGACTTCCGGTCAACCGGGCACCCAGCCCAATCTGAGTTAGAGAAGGCATGAATCTCCGAGGATGGTAAAGCAGACAGTCGAAGCCCATAGATCAACGTGCCCTTTACCTAGCGGAGAACCCGTTTGAGAAGTCCCTAGTGCTCGTCGGTCGGAGTATGCATAAATTGACAAAGGTGATTAATCGCATAGGATATATAGATCGGGCCGAGTGATAATAAGGCATTGAAGCGCGCCCGCCAGGTGTCGGTATTGAGTCGAATTATCAAACGGATCAGTGGAAGGAGCCACAGCCTGTGTAATAGACGCTGGAGTAGCTAGCGGCTTGCAGTCAGTCATTCCTGGTCGGTTTAGTATATCATTCATATAGCGGCGTTGCGAGAGAAACAGCCCGTCACTGGAGGATATAGGGTTTCAATGCCAAGAAAGAAACTGGGTGTACCCAGGTCCCTGATTTTGAACGTAAATGCGAGACGTTGTAGAAGCGTGTCAATCAAATGCAGAGTCGTTGCCTATCATGATAATGTCATACACGTAAACCAGCAGAAAGACCATGGAAGCCCCACTTGAGTAGTGAAAGAGAGAGACATCAGTTTTGGACGCAACAAAGCCTGCCGAGAGTAAGAAATCATGTAGACGCTTGAACCAGGCCTGGGGGGCATTCTTTAACCCATAAAGAGAACACTAGAGATGACAGACATGACTGGGATGCCTAGGATCCTCATACCCCGGGGGCTGGCGCATGAATACAGTTTCGGCTAAGTGATCATTGGGAAAGGCATTGTGGACATCTAGCTGGCGGAGAGTCAAACCCTGGGAAACGGCAAGAGAAAACAACAGGCGGACTGTAGTCGGTTTGACCACCGGACTAAATGTCTCGAAGAAGTCCTCACCAGCTACTTGATTGAACCCTTGGCTACTAAACGCGCTTTAAAGCGTTCTATAGAGCCGTCGGCTTTATGCTTGGTGCGAAAAACCCACTTGCACCCAATGATATTCATGTCGGGTGTAGCAGGGACAAGCCGCCAAGTGTCTTGTGTACTAAGGCATTGAATTCCTAGTCAATGGCATCGCACCACTGTGGCTGACCAACGGCTTGTGAATAGCAGGTGGGGTCGGGAGTAGTAGTAGCTACGATTAGGGCATGAAATTGTTCACTAGTGCCTGTGTCATGTGTCGGAGCCGCATGATATGTGCCCGCTGTTGCGATTCACCTCTGGGACCACGCCTCCGGGTTGCACGAACCGGTGCAATCGTGGCTGTAGTCGGTGTGGGGACAACCGGCGGTGTAAGCTGACCACCTCCCGGAATCACGGGACTCGAACTCCACGGCGGTGCGGGTTTAGCAGTTAGAGCCGTAGTATGCAAAGAAGCTGTTGCAAATGGAAAAATAGTTTTGTCAAATCGGACATGACGACAAATATAGGTTTTCCCAGTGCTTAGGTCCATGCAACGATACCCTCTAAAGGACGGAGGATAGCCTAAGAGGGGGTGGAGCGGAACTCTATCTTGTGGCGATTATATGGCCGTAGATAGGAAAAACACCCAAACACGCGTAGGAATGTGTATGTAGGAGGGATTTTATATAGGCGTTAGTATGGTGTACCAAACTATAGGGCTGACGAGGGAAGACAATTAATTAGGTATGTAGCTGTTTCAAAAGCGGAGTCCCAATATCGTAGTGGGACCAAGCTTCAGCCAGTAGAGCTAAGCTGGTTTTTACAATGTGCCGGTGCCGGCGCTCTACGCGACCGTTTTGCTCGTGTGTATAGGTACAAGACTGCCTGTGCACAATTCCAAGCGAATTAAAGACAACATTCAAACGGCGATATTCACCCCCTAAATTGGACTGGATGGACGTGATAAAACGTGAAAACAATTGTTCTACCATAGCCCGAAAATGCTCAAAAACCTTATAAATGTTGGTTTTCAGTCGTAGAGGATAATACCAGCAAAAATGGGTGTTATCATCTATGAATAGAACAAAATAACAAAAATCTCCCGCAGAAAAAACGGGTGCGGGTCCCCAAATATCTAAATACACAGTGCGCACAATTTTGTGTCTTCCAGTACAGTGCGCACATTGTTGAGTCTTCCAAATTTGAACAAAATGCAAAGACAATAGATTAGAAGCCTACATTATTTTTTAGAGCCGTTGATCTGGACAAACCAACTGCTCAGATTTATCTGTACCTTCGCACATGAGCTCCTCTTCACACCTGATCCTAAGCATACATACATACATATATACATACATACATACATACATACATACAGAGTCGAGTTTAGGTGCGGTGGAGTCTTCCCGTGCGGTCAGTGCGATCGCACCAATAGTTATGCAAATATACACCATCAACGTTAAGAAATGCACTACAAAAACATACACAAATTAGGTACGCAACACCAAAAACACACCATTAGGTATGACTAAAAGCACCACATAGTGTTCGGAAATACACCTGGTAGGGAGTTATATGGTGTATTTTTTTTTTGGTGTGTTGTGTATTTTTTGTGTATATATATAGGAAAAAGTTTTATTGCGGCGGCACCTTCCCGTGCGGCGGTTTTCAGAATACACCAATAGTGTAAGAGAACCACACAACACTGAAATGGAAATATATATATATATATATATATATATATATATATATATATATATATATATATATATATATATATATATATATTGTGGTAAATATATGTCTTTCACCAAAGGTCATTCTGTATGTACACTGACCCACCACCAAAAGCTTTCTTGATATTATTATCCCGAAAAGTTGATGTAGAACTCCCACTATTATAAACCAAAAAGAAAAAGAAACCCATCATTGTTCTTCAATTCCTCTATTTAAAGAAACCCCCAGTCCCTCTCTCCAATTCTTTAGCTCGATCACTTCTCTTTCTCCGCATCATCGACCCCACTAAGGAAAACGAAAAGATTGTCGCCATTAATTCCGTCTTAATTAGCTTGTTGCTCGTTCGGAGGTACAAGAATGAGTGGTGTTGGTGGGCCATGCGGTGCATGCAAATTTCTGAGGAGGAAGTGCGTGAAGGGGTGCGTATTTGCGCCGTATTTCGAGTCCGATCAACTGGGGACGGCCCATTTCGCGGCGGTGCATAAGGTGTTCGGAGCTAGCAACGCCTCCAAAATGCTGATGGCCATTCCGGCCAACCGCCGCCTCGAAGCCGTCGTCACGCTGTGTTATGAGGCTCTTGCTAGGGTTAGAGACCCCGTCTACGGCTGCGTTGGCCAAATCTTCACTCTTCAACAACAGGTATATATCAAACTCAAACGAATATTCACTTCTTTCTTTCTTCTCCTTTTTATTTTTGGGGTCACTAGAGAAATACGTAGTCACTATCCGAGTACAGTATAAATCCCATCTTATAACACTAGTCAGAAAAAAAAATTACAAGGATTTAAATCAGCCTGCTCATAACTGACCGGTTCAAACTAAGAGGGCTATGATTCGAACTTATGGTATTGTGGTTAGAAATTTATATTCTTAATCACTCTTTCTTTCTTTTCTTCTTTTTATGAAAATTGATTCTGGATTTATACGATCTACCTACACTAAACCTCAGATCATGAACGAGTTGATGGTGGTGAACGATTCTGTTGATTAGGGTTTTCAACCAATAATTTAGGTTTCATATATCAACCTAGCTAAGATAAAAGGTAGGTGCAGTGAAACTATAGCGGTTAAACTGATGTGTGTAGGTTAAATTATGACTCTATTTGGTAGAGTCTATTTTAGAGTTTATAGTTTATTTAAGTTTAAATAAAGCTTAAAATAATAACTCATTTTGAAACATTATTTGTTTTTCGTTTTTTTAAGTTTTTTTTTTATAGTAATTTACATAAATGACCCTTTACCCTTTATATTAATCAAAATCTTAATATTTTATTTTATCTTGTTATGTCTCTTTATATATATATCATCTAATTTTACAATTAATTTTATCAAATACTTTTATTTTAATTACTTAGCTTATTAGTTGCTTTCAGCTAGGTATGTCAAATAGAACCAACATGTTTAAATTTATTTGCGTTAATAATTTAGGGGATGTTTGATAAATGACTGTTAGCTGATAGCTCTTAACTGTACTGATTGTGTTAGTGGGTTTAACCAATTGATAGAATTAGCATTAGCATTACATACAAAATAACTTTATAAAAAACTTATCGAAAAATATATTTTGAACAACTTTTTAAATTTTAGCATTTTAGAGCAATAAGTTGTTATAAAAAGCTAATTAATCAAACACTCATATCGATTATTTAACAAGTCAAACAACTAATAGTGATCAAATAAATCGAAATTGGCTGAAAGTCTAAATAGTTTACCAAACAGGCCTCAGTCCTTTCCTGAAATGCTACCTTATACTGTACCCTGTGATGCGGTACAAAAATTTAGATTATTTATAAATTGCTTATAAAATGACCGACTTAATTACATTATTAGATAAAATAATATCAAATATTATAAAATTTTATGCAAATATCGTCATATTTAACCTTACGAGTCTTTACTAATTTAATATGTATTTCCATATTTACTCCATATCAGATAAAGTAGTATCTCTATGAGTAAGACATGCCTGGGACCCTAGTTTTAAGCTGGTTGATTTTACTAACAGTGGAACAAAAAACACGTGAGATCGAGGTGATGATTATCAGAAGTACTAAATATAAATAAAATTAAGTACTCCGAAATTAAAGTTAATGCATGTTGTGTCTGAATTCAATGTTTGAGGAAGTATTATTAGAGCCGAAGAGCAGTCAATGTCGTAAGAAACGGTCTAGGTTTTCTTTAATTTCCTGGAGCGTTTTCTAGGTTTGATGGTTGACAAGTTGCTATAGTGCTATATACCAAACTTTTTTTTCTTTTAAAAATACTAGTTCTATTACATTGTAGTATCTGTTCATATACTTTCTCAACCTACTGAAGAATCAATAACACCTCCACTGAGGCTCGAACTCATAATCTTCCAAATGAAAGTCCAACCCAGATACCATTAGATCACATAGTCCTGGTGTTATATACCAAACATAATTAATGACAACAATATATATATATATATATATATATATATATATATATATATATATATATATATATATATATATATATATATAGAATAAAGTTCAAATGCAGCGGGGCCTTCCCGTGCAGCGGTGCGGCGGAATTCCAGAATACACAACAGTGTAAGAAAAACACACCACAATGAAATGCAATAAAACATCACAAAATACACAACAGACTCAAAAAAATACACCATATAACTCACCACCTCCAATGGTGTATTTCTGAACAGTGTATGGTGTTTTTACTCACACCTAATGGTGTGTGTTCGGTGATGCGGGGCTCTGTTTACTCTGTTTTTTATTTTTTTTTTGTGGTGTATTTTACTAACGTTGATGGTGCATATTTGTTGAACTATTGGTGTTGCCGCACCGCCGTACCGTAAGAGACTGCCGCACCTGAACTCGCCTATATATATATATATATATATATATATATATATATATATATATATATATATATATATATATATGATCAGGTTTCCATGCGAATAGTGCTTCCCATGCGATTACTCATCATTAACTACGTATAAATACACCACAAAGCGTTCAGAAATGCACTATTAGGATAAGTGTGGTGTGTTTTTTTGGTGTGTGGTGCATTTTTTAGTGTGTGGTGCATTGGTGCATTTTATTATGGTGTATTTCCGAACATTGAGTGTTACATTTTTACATACATAATGGTGAATCTACCTCAACAGCACGGGAAACACTATCTGCATTTGAATCAGTATATATATATATATATATATATATGTAGACACACACACATACACACACACATATATATATACACACACACACATTAAAAGTTGCACCGTTTAGGCATTTAATATACTTCTTTTGTTCAATTTTATTTGTATTGTTTGAATAACGATGTTCATAACTCAATTTTTATAATATATAAGTTGGCGTTAGTTTTAAAATTTTATATATAGTACAATTATTATTATATTAAAAAATTAAGAAGAACACGTTAAAAAATAAGTGAAGAAGAAAAGTAAATAAAACACCTAAATGGAATGAAAGATGTGATTCATTTTAAGTATCACATCTTTTTGTATACATTAGATTGTGAGCATATAGCCATTAACGTGCAATCAAACTATCAGCTTAGGCTTTTAGTTGAGATGGAGCACATGCTTCAATTTGGTATCAAAGTCAGACCAAAGGTCGTGGGTTCAAATCTCAACGCCACTCGTAAGCGACAACGGTTTACCGGTCCACGTGTTGGTTGGAATCCACCGTACACGTGAGGGGGCGTGTGAGCATATAGCCATTAACGTGCAATCCAACTATCAGCTTAGGCTTTTAGTTGAGATGGAGCACATGCTTCAATTTAGATGACCACATAATTATATTGATTGATCTATACATTTATAACCTTTCATATTGATCTTACAACATGATTAATCAAAATCATGTAATACGCCATAAGTTTTTATGTATAATAACATTATTATCTATCTAATGACGTGACGAAAAGTATTATTATTATTATTATTATTATTATTATTATTATTATTATTATTATTATTATTATTATTATTATTATTATTATTATTATTTTAAAAAATGGGAATTTTGATGTGAATTGATATAAAATTTGGTAAATAATTTGGCAGGATTATTATAGTGCATGTATTTAGGTTCTAATTGTGTCTTCTATTAACTTTTTGGGAGTAATGAGAAAATCTGTAGTCACCATCCGAGGTTATGCATTAATTAAGTAAAATTCATTTTGTGATCCTAGCTGACAAATGACCTCAAGAAGTTAAACTAGTTTAAGTTGTTCATTGTTGATCAATTTAAACAAAATGATTGAGATTTAAACTTATGACTTTATAATTACAAGTTTGTATCTTTAATCATCTTGACTTGGGTATTATCCCGTGTTTTCTACTAACTTGTGTCGTGCACTAGGGGAGAGTGAGGGAGAGAATTGTCATGTACTGGAATTTTTAATGCAATTTCTTGCTTGCCGGAGCTAACAAGCTAAGTAACCCCAATAAGCACTTTAGCAGCTCGAGGAAATAATAGTAATCAATTGTTGAAGTACAATCTTTAATTTGACTTTATTGCTTCATTTGTCTTGAATTACTATATTTCATTGCGTATAAATTAAAATTTCTAGTTATATGCCAGGGTTAGGTATACACACACAACAATAAGCTATTAAAAAATATTTTATAATGTTGACTATTGTTATAGTAGTTAAATAAGAGGTGTGACATTTTTTAAAATTAGAATTACATTTATATATGTGAGACCATCTCACGGATTTTTATTCGTAAGACGGGTCAGGTCGGGTCAATCTGAAAAAGTAATAGTTATACTGAAAAATGTAATACTAATTAGGAATAAATTGTTTGTTACTTATAAGTGAGAGTGTAATACTTTTGAGGAAAAATGTAACACTTATACATTTTACTAAAAAAGTATTACGGAGTATATTTTTCATCAAAAGTATTACTTTATTTTTTTTTGTTAGACCAAAAGGTGTCCTAAGCAGGTCCGATTACACATTTATGTTTATATATTATATATATGCTCAACACGCCCCCATCACGTGTGAGGTTACTTTTTTATGGGCTCCAAGCAACACGTGGACCATAATCTCTTTTCTTAACGGGTGAGACCTTTGGCATGGGGTTGGCTCTGTTACCAAATTGAAGCATGTGCTCCATCTCAACTAAAAGCCTAACTTGATAGTTGGATTGCACATTTATGTTTATATATTATATATATGCTCAACACTAACTGTAGGAAGCACCTTTAAGCCCGTACCGTACTCAAACTAATCTCTGTTCACACCGAGTCGGTCCAATTAATGGGTTCAATAATAAAAAAGAAATGTCATTATTTTTTTTTAAATTATTAATAAAAGAAATTCTTACTTTTAAATTGTAAATTTTTCTGAATACTTTATTGTTATAACTTATGTGTGGCTGCAACATTAGTTTTTCTTTATTATGTATTAACATATATAGTTGTCTTTTAGTTATCTAAGAAACACATGGCACTTTATGCAATATTTTCTAGTGTCCAGATTTGGGTAGATAAAGTCCAAATCCTTCAACCTTTAATTCGGTAAAGAGCAATACTGCTTAGAATTGACTCTTTCTATTTTTTGGGATAACAAAAATGTTGACTTATGTTATGGAACAATTAATTACGGAGTATATCATTTTCTGCCCATCATTTGTCTTTTCAATCCATTCATATTAATTACTACGTAATTCCTTACTATCAATAATAAGTTTGCTGTGCTGTCTTTATCATCATGTAATTTTAGGAAAAAATCCTTTACAAATTCAATCTTTAATTTATATAAACAATATATCAAAATAATTGAGTTGAAATGATTGGAGTGAAGGTATTTTTTTTTTTTTTTTTCGGAGAGTATATCTAAGCATGAATTTATAGTTACATATATAAGTGTTTAATCCCCATAATTTGATAGTATTATTATATAGAGTATTATATATATATATATATATATATATATATATATATATATATATATATATATATATATTTATTTATTTATTTATTTATTTATTTATTTATTTATTTATTTTATAATTCACTTACGAATTAAATTGTTTAAACCCCTCAAAATTGTAATTTTGCATAAACCATGAAGTGACGATTTTTTATTTATTTATTTATTTTTTTTTGGGTAAAAACGTCCCCTTAGCTTATTATTGTACACATAATATACAATTCTACACAATACAGACATTATAGAAAATATAATATAGTACATTTCAATTCAAACTATTTTGATTGTCACCTTTATTATATTAGTTGTCTTACCTATTCTAATACATTAAAATTTAACTTTAGATAAATTGTCAAAGACTTTGTGGTCTAGCAATATGAAGTGACGTTCTCAAATAGGAGGTTATAGGTTCGAGCCTCAATTTATTGTTTGTTGACCTTTGTGAAACAAAGTTGAACGGCTTTTTGATGCATGTAATGGAGCCCTAATGTTTTTTTTTTCCCTTTTTAATTTACACTTCTATACATTTTGCTCCTTAAATTATAGTTTCATATTGAATATGGTAAGTTTTGAGTATCTGATAATTAACATTTAGTCATAATATTTGAAATGTTATGATTTAATTAAATAAATTGAAATTTAAGATGGGTAGCTAGATAACAATTGAAGTGGATAAATTTTTAGTAATTTTTGATAAAATGGAGGTTAAACCCAGACTTGGGTTCAACCGCGACATGGGTAGATCCAAAGGGAGGACAATGGGGGCAGTTGCCCCACCCCCTCAACCTTCCCTACCCCCCTATATGTACGTGTATGTATGCGTATATATACATCTATAGTAGTAAATTATATATAAAAATGAAGTGTATATACAAAATAAATTTTTAAGTAGCTTAGTTGGATGTTTAATGTTTTTGTACTTGCATCATATTAATGGTGTTTGATATTTTATCATGGACATTTTTTAATTTAATTAATTTTGTCCCTACATAGAAACATTTCTGGATCCGCTCCTGAACCGCGGTTCTCTTGTGGGTTTGGACCCGTGCAGTGTCTTGCCTTAGAGCTTGGGCAATGTGGTCGGGAGCTTGAGTATTTTAATTGTTATCTAGAATTTTAGTCATTTAAATTGTTTTTGATGTTTGAAAGCTTACACATTATAGGTGGTTAACTTGCAAGCAGAGTTGGCTTATGTTCAAGCGCGTCTATCAACCCTCCAGCATCTTCCTCTGGCAGCACCACCGCCGGGAAGTTTACCCACCGGCGGCGCCAATGTGGATCTCCAGTCCTCGTGCGAAGCAGGACACAGCTCCGATGTATCATTATACGTTAATCCACCACCACCACCACCACCATTATCGCCGGGGCTAGACGTTACGGGATTGTGCGACGAGTGGGATGAAGATGTGGCTACTTCGGATCTTCACATGTTAGCTTGGGAGTTTGTGTCTAGGCACTTGCCAGGAGTGCGATTCAGGCCTTCACAATGAAACTAACAAGCTAGATTTGGTTCATCTCAGGAATCAACCTCATATTTTAGCTCCTATATCAACTATTCTCATGCGTTTTGCATGCACTCTAATTATCTATTAATTATCTCTAACTACATCATATTCTCCCTGTCCCATTTTATTTTTGGCTTCTTGTCTTGTCCATAAAAAGTGAAATCCTATCCCGAGGCGGCTATTTTATTCTTTACTATGGGCTAATCACTTTTATTTTTATCTAGTTTTAATTAACAACATTTAAATTTGACTTTTTTTATTTAATAAACTTTTTATTTGTTTTATAATTATAAAATTTTATTTATTACAATTTAAATATATATTATAAAACATTAAAGTATAAATAATTTAAATTATGTAATTGTTAATTTGAAAAAAATATTATTTAATGTTAAAGTATTTGCATTGAAAAATGATAATAAAACTAACTCCGATCCAGTCATATGTTTTAATTTTGCTGGAAGGTGGTGGAACAAATTGATTTGAGGTATGCATGAATCAATTATAAGTTAACATAAATTCGTGGATTTAATGCTTACATATCACAAGTAATGTTTTGCAATATAATAAGACATAGTTATGTAATGCCTAGACAATGACAATTCATATCAATAGTTATGCCGTGCAATCGAATGTACCATGCGCATGGTGCATACGATGCAAAACGACGCCGTTTTGACTAAAAACGCGCGTCCCACTTTAAAAAAAAAATTCAGGTTCGGTTATCGGCAATAGCATTATTGTGGATATATAGTTATGAATTTCTGGATATATAGTTATAAATTTGTGGATATATAGTTATGAATTTATGGATATTTAGTTCATTCATTGTGGATATTTAGTTCATTCATTGTAGATATTTACTTCATTCATTCACTGTGGATATATAGTTATGAATTTATGGATATTTAGTTCACTCATTGTGGATATTTAGTTCAATCATTGTGGATATTTAGTTCATTCATTGTGGATATTTAGTTCATTCATTGTGGATTTTTACTTCATTCATTCATTCATTGTGGATTTTTACTTCATTCATTCACTGTGGATATATAGTTATGAATTTGTGGATATATAGTTATGAATTTCTGGATATATAAAAATGCTATTGCCGGGAATCGAACCTGATTTCTTCTTTAAGTGGGACGCGCGTTTTTTTTAAACTAAAACGGCGTCGTTTTGCAACCGTATGCACCTTGCAAGGTGCATTCGGTTGCACAGCATAATTTGCGCAATTCATATAGGAAAAGAGTACCGACAAACCACTAAAAACATGGTGGGCCATGAGACTAAGTCAAGGCCCACAGTGTGGGTCGTGAGACTGAGGCAAAGCGCAAATGGTGGGCCGTGAAACTAAGTCAAGGCCCACTATTTAGGGCCCCGAGGCGGGCTCTAGGGTGCATACGGCTCTTGAGGTCAGCCTCTGGGGCCTTCGCTCTTTGCTCGGGTCTTTTGCATCCTACTCGGAATATCCATTCATCTTAGCCCTCGAGTCGCGGCTCTTCTTGGGCTCCGGGTCAATGGCTCTTAGACTTCGGGTCTACATTATTAGGTCATTTCCAATATTTCCATCACCAGTCCCCCCACCCTCCAAGTTGTGGGGAGTCGACAACGAGAGAGAGTAACCACTCTAAGTACCTCGTGACATGCGGTGAGCCACCCAAGGCCAAGCCGAACATAGGGGTGCCCATGACTGTCCTCGGGGACTCAAGCTAGTATCCCAGACGTTCTTAAGTATTTCTTTGATTTGTTCCTTTCGAATGTTGAGTCTATGAGAGGACCATAACCCTTTCATGCCTTCAATGACTTCTCATTGCTCGATGATGGGATTGGGACAAGCCCCCCAATCCCTCCAAGCCCAACTGCATTCTCCTAGGAGGAGCGTGGTAAGATTCTTGATCCCTTACAAATGTGGTTGTTGGGCTTGGTTTGGTATGGACTTGCTGGTGCATGCGCGAACATGGTCGAATCAATCCCAACCCAATTTTTGATGTGGTAGGTGGGTTCCTAGCTCGATGTGGAGCATCTCGAGCGTAGACTCATAGTGTGCCTTTATTTCTATGGGATTTGATCTAGCACCTCAGACATCATTCGAACCTTGCCACGAAGGGTTAGGGATGGGGGTTGGTTCCTAACCCATGCTCCCTTTCGGTCCCGGGTTTTGATATCTTGGTGAGGCACATTGCCTTTCCTTGCTTGATTGGACTAAGTATACCGCCCGGACTATTTTAGTTGAACAAAGTAAGTCGATCGGGCCCGTTTCGAGATTATTTTTGCAATTTTCTTTGTTGTATGCCTCTCAGGGCTACTTTGTTTGTATTATGCATGTCTTTGGGAACCTTACAATTGGACTAAGGGTGGCACTTGGGCTCTCCCACTTTAATCACGTTGTCCAGGTCACATACAGCTCTTGGGACCCTTCTTTGTTGTATGCCTTTCGGGGCCCTTACAATTGAAATAAGGTTGGTGATCAAGTTCTCTCACTTTGATCACGTGTTCCAGCTGGGTCACCGCCTAGGTCCTTTGAATGGCATAAGCTCTCCTTCGGACAAAAATACATTGTTTGAATTTCTGCCCTCGGGCTTCTCCTTAAGAAAATATTTCTTTCCAATATTTCTAGATTTTCCTTAAACAAACATTGCCATTTTATTTGGATTGTGAGCGTGGTCTAACCCTGTCCTGAGCATAAGGGGATATGGTGGGTGAGCGATTTCATTTTATTTGCGCTTTATGTTAAAGCCCCCCCCCCCCCCCCCCCCCAACCCCCCAATTGGCTAAGCATTGGACTCGACCAACAATAGTTTCTTCCGTCAAGTGGTCAGCAAGGACAAGCCCCGTACTGCCCTTAGGAAATGTATAGCTTCTTCTTGGCTACGCCTCAGGCTCGCCCAAGAATAGGCTCTTCCGTCAAGTGGTGAGCAATGACTAGGGCCCGTACCACCTTTTAGGAACACCTTACCATTCGACGTTAGGCGATGCACACCTCATAACGCCCCTCGGGAATATCAAGGTTGAGGCCAACGCGAACAACCTCGACCATGAATTGATTTCTTTTTTTAGGTGCTAAGCCTGGTCAGATCTCATAACGCTACTAGGGAGAACCGATGTCCAGGTACATAACCTTGGCCCCAAAGTCAACACTTGGGGTCGAACCCTCATTTCCATTTAAAAATAGCTAAAATTCTTCGGGTTCCCGAGGTGGGCCATCAAGTGTAGATTGATTTGGGTGGCGACCTCGGGGTTGTCTTGAGGTTGTCCTCCTCGGCTTAACCACGGGATGGGGCATTCATGGTCGAGCTCCTAGTGCAGTTTGACTTGAGTAACGACATTGGCCCAAGGTTCTTGGGCACATAATCTTTTGCGCATTAGCTTTTGGGATAACGTGTTAACCGACAGCCTTAGTCATAAGCAATCTTGGGTCGGTGCCAGGATGCCCAACTAATACAAAGGTGGACTTGGCTTGAGCCAGACGATTGACTTCGTGCCCACGATGACACCTTGACTTAAGAACCAACCCCCTAGGCGAATGGATTTCAACCTCACCCTGGGTGTTTCCTACTCGTTGTGGTTGGTTTGCGAACTCCGTGCTTGGACTCTGAGGAAGCGGGTTACCATAGGTTGTACATCGGTGGACCCACCTAGTGCTCTCGCAACAAGCCTGACTTGATTAGGTGGGACCAACCTCTGGATCCTGTCTCTAATTCATTGAGTAAAATCACAGCCCATTGGATGGCGGCTAACCCAACTTATGTGCCCAGGGTCAGCGAGACATCCGTAAGTGGTGTAGTTTGGAGGCTTGGGGCCACTTTAACCAGTTATTCGGTTCAACTTAGGTGCCCAAGGTCGGCAGGGTTTCAGCGAGTTGCGGAGCATGGGGGTTTGGGGTTGACTCCCCACCTCGGTTCAACTTAAGTGATCCCTCAAGTCCACCCCTTGGCATAATGATAATGTTTTTCAACTTGTGGCCTCGGTCAAGTTGTTGTTGCCTTCGATCATACAAGTGTAGCGGGAGCCGCAGGAATTATGAAAAGTGGAGCTCACCATTGTTGAAGCGTTGGGATGGTCATAGACCAAAAGATAAAAGCACGCTCGAGCTTGCATGGTATGTAAGAATCAATAAGTTCACATAAATAATATGGGTAAAATAGTAAAGCGAAATAATGGTAATAGTATTTTGTGGATTTAATGCTTAAAGTATTACAAGTAATATTTTGCAATAGAATAAGACATGGTTATGTAATGACAATTTATATAAGGAAAAGAGTCCAACAAACCCCTAAAAACGTGGTGGGCTATGGGACTAAGTCAAGGTCCACATGGTGGGCTGTGGGACTAACTCAAGGCCAACATGGCGGCTCATGAGACTAAAGTCAAGGCCCACCATTCTAGGCCCGGAAGCGAGCTCCGGGGCGGGTACGACTTTGGAAGCCAACCTCAAGGGTCTTTGCCTTATGTTCAGGTCCTTCAAGTCCTACTCGAAATATCCCTTTGTCTTAGCCTTCGGAGTCCCCAAATCCTAGCGAGATGGCTCACCCCGTTTCTTATCTCAAAGAGTGCCATTGTTTTTTGTCTTTGCCTTTTTCTCTTTCATCATTTCACTTCAACCCCCTCATGAATTTTTCTAGGGATTTGCGGATTTACTCACAATACTCACCAAAAGGCTCACCTTTTGCCACATATCTTACCAATATTAATTCATTTCCAGCCTTGCTTTCTTATCTTTCTAAAGTTGAGGGGTACACACTCCAATTTCGAGAGATCCTTGACTAAGGTCCAAGCAAAATAAGAGGTGAATAACATGCAAGCATACAAAAGATATAAACCTATTTGGCTCTATGCATTTCTCACTTGGTGTAAAGAGGTAACTTCCAATGTATATTTTAAGAACTAAACATTTTATGCACATGACTAGCACACTTCCAACATGATATGAACAATAACGCACTCCCCATCATCAAACACACTCATCAATCAAGCACCATTAGACCTGTAATTTTGCAAACTCTCGGATTAATGATATTAATTAAAAGACTGACGGATAGTCTGACGGATTCAGCGATGATATCAGTCTGATAGCTGAAACACTGATTAACTTGCGGAAAGATAAAACTAAGGAAGACAGCGAAAGGAACAACACACAAGATGTTTACCCAGTTCGATACAGTGTGTATCTAAATCTGGGGGATGATCACA